TCTTTTTCCCTATAGTCAAGTATAAAACAATTAGGTTAATGCTCTCTATTATTGCCCATTATAACCTAGAGCTATAACAGATGGATGTTACCACTGCCTTCCTGCATGGTAACTTAGAAGAGGAGATCTACATGAGCTAACTTCTAGGTTTTATTGACCCTAAGAAATCTGACCATGTGTGTATCCTGCACAAATCACTGTATGGACTGAAACAGTCCCCAAGACAATGGTATAAGAGGTTTGACAATTTCATTGTTAGCATAGGGTACACTAGGAGTAGATATGACAGCTATTTCTATTTTAATTTGAATCATAATCTGCCTGTGTATCTCTTATTGTATGTGGATAATATGTTGCTAGTGAGTGAGTCTAAGGCTAAAATTCATGAGTTAAAGGGACAGCTTAGGTCAGAATTTGACATGAAGGATCTAGGAAATGCAAAAAGAATCCTAGGAATGGACATTACCAGGAACAGGAGTAAACATGAACTAATCATTAGACAGAAATCATACTTACAAAAATTAGTGTCTAAGTTTGGGATGGCTGATTCAAATCCAGTGTCAATGCCTCTTGCAAACTATGTTGTGTTAAACAAGAGCCAATGCCCTAAAACTAAATCTGATTTAATCAAAATGGAATATATTCCTTATGCAAATGTTGTTGGATCTGTGATGTATGGGATGATCAGTACCAGACCAAACCTGTCCTATTCCATTTCCTTACTGAGCAGATTTATGGCAAATCCAAGCAGTGAGCACTAGACTGCCTTAAAGGGAGTGTTAAGGTATATTAATGGTACTCTGAATGTTGGTAATTTCTGTAAAAGGCGTAATACACTTGACTTGGTGGGTTTTGTAGACTCTGACTTTGCAGGTGACAAAGACACAAGGAAATCCACCACTTCATATTACTTTACCCTTGGAGGAAATTGCATTAGCTGGAAGTCACAGCTTCAACCTATATTGCTCTCTTAACAACTGAAGCAGAGTACATTGCTGTTGCTAATGTGTTTAAGGAAGCTGTGTGGCTGCAAGGTTTGTTAGCCGAAGCAAAGCTGACTGATGGCAAGGTTACTGTATTCTCAGATAGTCAGAGTGCAATTCATCTTAGCAAGAATCTAGTATACTATGAGCAAACCAAGCATGTGGATGTTCGCTTCCACTTCGTCAGGGACTTAGTAACACAAGGGGTAATTGATCTCAGAAAGGTATCCACTGAGGATAATCCAGCTGACATGGGAACCAAGGTTGTTTCACTTGCAAAGTTCAAGCATTGCTTGAACTTGCTGCATGTGAGATAACCTGTGAAGATCAGAACGATGAAGGAACTGGGTGGGTTTGCTGCACTGTGAATTCTCAGCATTCAAGGTGGAGATTGTTGTGAGTGAATGCTGAAACAGCGTCATACTGAGTATTAGTAGAACAGTGTCGTTTTGAGACAGCTCCAAGATGATCCTGACCGCTGATTCAGAGGAAATCTAACGGCTGAAAAATCAAGCCTCCAGTCAACACTATAAAAGGATTAAGTCTTCGCATAAACAGTAGATCAAATGAAAAGAGTGAGACCATTTTTCATATTCTTCGTTCTATTATGGTTCTTCATTTTTTGGTCTGATTTCAGTAGTAATCTGTGGGTATCTTGAGTGGTTTGGGTTAATCAGTCAAGAGAAGAACTTCTGTGTTCTTGTTATAGGAATTTCCAAGTTAGAGTGTTCCTAGGGCAGATTATGGGTTTGAATCAGAGTTGTTTGATCTAGGGTTTTGAGCGTATTCTTGTAATCGTGACTATAAGTGATTGTTCAATAATCATAGTGCAGCGAACTCCCTTTTCCGGAGTTCAACGTAGATGTAGCTTGCTCAAATAGAGCAAGTGAACTACGGTAAAAACCCGGTGTTGATTGTTTGTGTGTTTTCTTGTTTCTTGATTGTTTGTGATAGGTTCTTGGTTGATTGCATAACAGTCCCACCGTTGTGACGGCTAAAAGAGACTTTTCAATAAGATTTTTTATTTGATTTCCACTAAAATTATTAATTTAATTTAACCTTCTCTGATTCTTTTAGATTCACACTAATCTTATAACTATTAAGTTAATTACATTCGTTTGTTTTCCCTGCAGAATCTGGAAGATACATTCTGATGGATTTTTCATCACTTATATTCATATTTATAGAATGTAGTCATTCCAGTCAACATTCCAATGCAAAATTTGCCTATTCATGAACACTGGACCTCTCCGTCTAAATCTTTTAATGTCGAAGGGTCGCTCAAATGCTTACTTGAATGGTCCTGGAACCCTTTTCCAGGCATAAACAGGTCGGGGAAACGGTGAAAGAAGTCCTAAACAGATTAACATACTTCTTAATTCACAGGACAAGTAAACTATATGGATGATAATGAATAACATTGATAAGGAAAAGATATATAGATTCATGAACTGATATTTCTCAATCACCAGTAACCAAAATCAAAAGTACTAGACAGAATTTGATCCTCATTTACTTTTTTCAACCAATATGCACCCTAGCTTTAACTGACAACAGTTTTATTCAGTAACTTTAACTTACAACCGTTATTTCAAAAAGTTAAAACTTCATATCTTAGACTTTAAAGAAAGAAAACAGAAGAACCAGCAGATGAAGAAGAAGAAGAAGAAAAAGAAGCCACACCTGGCTTAAAGTTTGAAGTATTTTCGTTAATTTGCTAAGGATTAAGGTACTGTAAAGATACTGATAGTGTTTGAGCCACAGTAGCCACAGTATATATATAATGCCAATTTAAAGGAAGCCGTGACTAAATGAAACATGTTGAAAGAGAACACCAGGTCACAGTCATGTTAATATAAATTTGTTTTTTTTTTGGGATATTAAAGGAAATTACATTAGATTACGAATAGATATTATGAAGGATAAAGAATTGAATTCTGAAATAAATACGGTTTGGTTTTATTTCATATATATATATATAAAACACAAAATCACTATCTCTTTCACGTATCAAGTACTTAACTTAAATGGACAATCTCCAAAAATGACGACTAATCAATAGTTCCAGATCCGGACACCCATGAAAGCCACTTGAGAGCTTGGAAGGTCGTGACAAATAAATATTAAAAATTGAAAGGAGAAAATATATACTATGATTTTTTACATTTTCTATATTGTATTTGGCTGTTTAAAGACCATACTATATAATAATAAATATATCCATCAAACAGAATTTAAAATAATATGTATCTATATGAAAACAAATATTATGTTAATATGTTTTAATTTTATATGAAAGTTTCTAGTAATACCAGACAGGTTATGACCAGTGGCGGATCCAGCCATTTTTTGGTCCACCCTCAATTTTTTTTTTAATATTAATATGTAAATTTATATACTTTGGCCCACCCTAAAAAAAATATTAATGGACAAAAATAGTAATCTATAATAAATTTTTATTTTGGTTCACTCTAAAAGAAATTCCTAGATCCGCTACTGGTTATGGCAAAAGAGGATTTAGTGTTCAACTAAGTGGGTAGGGGTGTTTTGGGAAATAAAATTAGAAAAGTGTCACGTGGCGAATCTAAAGTGGAGAACCGTGCATAACTAACTGGAGAAGGATTCCTCTGTTGTTGTGTGAGGTTGGTTTAGGAATCTTGGGTTGGGTTGTTCGTTGTTTGTCTTTTTCCAGTTTCGTGTACACATCATCCACACGAATACGTCTCTGACACGTTTTTGCTTCTTCCAGTTTCACATTGCTTTTTACTTACACTCACTGTGCCATTAGCTTAAACGCTGACGCCTTCTAATAGTGCTGTCACTTTTACTATCCTCCGATCACTTCTCGCCACGTGTAAACACTTCCAAATACCACGTGTAGTTCGCTGACGTGTCGAAGTAGCATTCGACCTTTACGATTGGTAGACACCACACCGCATAATCGCTTCACCTAATCTAATTTCCACTATTTCACACTACTTTTATTATTAAAATTTTGAATATTTTTATAATTATAATATTAAATTTGTAAATTAATCTTTAATTGGATAATATTTGTAAATAATAAAATGGTTGTATGTATATATACAAATTTAAATGGACACAACGTATCTATCATTCTTGCACAACTTATTACACCACAAACTCTTATTTTTCTCCCATTTCTCGTTATACTTATTACTTCCTTATTTTTTCATTTCAGAACCATTGTCAAATAACTTAATGGTAAAAGAGTAAAAAAATATTTTATAAGCTTTTAAGTTCCAATCCTCTCATACACTAATATGAGTGACCGACTATGTCTCTTACCTGATCTACAGTTAAAAGATTATAAGAAATTAGTTAAAACGTGCGTAAACTGATCCAAACACTCTCGATGATTAAAAAAAAAAAAAAAAAAAACATATATATCTATCATCACTTAGAAAAGAACAATATCTAACTAAACTCAAAGAATAAATGATTATTTTGCAAACTTACTCCATTCAAGTGTTAACTGGGTGTCCTTCAAAGTTCAAATGTCATCCATCCACCATTCCAATATTCCCAATTTAGTGCAATTTCATTGGTTCTTCGTCTTGTCACTTTATCATCTTTTCCCAAATTAAGGAAACAAAACTTTCCCCTTTTGCATATTGAAAAAATCATAACTTAATATGCATTTATTGATTAGACTTTTTTAAGTTAATTTAAATTAAAGTACGAGAAAATAATAATATAGGTAAGTTTAATTTAAAGAATGTCTTAGTAAATATTAATGTGTGACATGTTGAAAATAATAATTAAATAACGAAAATGTCAATAAAAACACCAAATATTTCGTTAAAATTTTAAAATCAAAAGTCCTTTTTTAAGTTTCTTTGAGATGACTAAATTGCCCCTTTTAACAATTTTCTAGGGATTCGTCTGTCGTCACCGCCGGGGGTACCGTCCGAATTATGTAACTCCAGCGTACTATTTATTATTTGGCTTTTCCCCTTATTAAACAATACAATACAAATCCTCTCTACGCCCCCGTGCTATTTCTCTCTCTCTCTCTCTCTCTCTCTCTCTCTACATGGTTTAATCAAATTCACTTTTACCACTTTCTCCCTCTAGGGTTTCGAAGGCAAAGTTCTCTGTGTGAGTACCTGAGGTTTGAAATATACTTGTTTCTTGCGATATTACAGCAATTTCGCGTTGATTACTTGATCGCGTGACTCGTCTATTTCTCTTCCGTATCAGAATCAGTTTTCGTCTGCTTTTTTCTTGGTGTTTCGTCCCAACTAGATGAAATTTCTTAGTCGATTAAGCTGGTGAGTTTTTGGTCCGTTCTATTAGTTTGGTTTTGACGATGCGTTGTCTTTAATTTAGTTTTAATTTTAAGTTTAATCTTTTGTTTTTGGTTGTTTGGGAGATTTGGTATGGAAATCGGTTTAGTATTGTTTAATTTTGTTACTTAGGGTTATAGGCCTTGATTTGATTTGTAAATGTTCAGTTTTCTTGAGTTGGTCGAAGTAAAAGTACTCGTGAAATGGAGAATTTTATGAGTGGAGTCTTTTTGTTATTTCTTTTCTTTTCTGAATTTTTTAAACTGTGTAGTTAGATTCTTGGTGTTTTTGTAAATTTCACTTTATGGTTTGGATATTTTGCATTGTTGTTGTGCACTCAAGCTTAATTTGTCTTATGGGTACAGTTTTTTTGCAGTTCATAGTCTTGGTAATTACTACTGATATGGGCGACTGAGACTTTGATGTCGGTGAATGCTTTTGAGTGGATGTTGAATGATTGGTACCATGGATTTAAATGCTTCTCCATTACCTGAAGAAGACGAGGATACTTTTGAAGGGCATATAGAACAATATGCTGTACATGAACGTGCAGAGTCTGGAGCTGAAATTTTACGGCGGGTACGTTCATTGATTTTCTCTTTGTTTCCAGCTTTTTTTTTTTTTCCCCTGTTTCTATTGTTGAAGGATGCTTTTGTTCTTTTATATATATGTGTGTGTGTGTGTGCGTGATAGTTGGCAGACCTCTTAGTCTTTGATTTTAGTAAATTACGTAAACTAGGCAAATTAACAGCAGTGTTAGAGCACTCGTAGCTTGGCATAGTGGTTTGCAATGTTCCTGTCTTTTTCATTTGGGTGGGAATGGCATTACTTAAAGAGCTAGTTGGTTGTTTCTAGTCTCTCAGTCTAACAGAGACATCAGCATGTAGGCAGAGTTATTTGGTGCCTCTTTCTATTATTTTCTTTTGTATCTTTTGGAGAAATTATTATATTTTCATGTGTGCTTCCCTATGTGTTTGTCATTGTCACAATTTTCTGCCTGCTCTTGTCAGGAGCGTGAAGAAAGAAGAATGCGCTTGAAAAGAGATCGGCCTGATGACAGAAACATGCATGATCAATATTTTCAAGCTCGGAGATTCAAGTCTTATGAAAAAAATAAGCTCCCCCCTGGTATGCTCTTTGAATTTTTAACTATTGATACTGCATTAAGGTACTACTTTATGTTATTCGTGTTATTGGGTAAAAAAAAATTGCCACATTTTGCTTTATTTGCATCAAGGTACTACATTATGTCTTATATTTGTTTTTGTGTTCTATTTCTTAATTCTTTGATTTCTTAAGCAATTCAACGGTTGAGATTCCATAGGGGTAGTATGTACCAATTGTTTACAGGTATTACATTTTAATTTTTCATCAGGCAGCATTATGCCTTTAAAGAGTCAATATGATACAACCACGCAAATGAGTTAATCAACATGCAACTTGAAGATGCAAAATTGGTGGATGAGTATCTGTTGTTTGATACTGGATACATATTATATTTTTTAATTGGAACATAACGTGATTTCTTGTATTTAAATTTTGAGTATTTTATGTAGATTTTTAATATTATTTTCTTTGTGTTTCAGGTTGGTTGGACTGCCCTCCATCTGGTTCAGAAATAGACTGTATGATCCCTTCCAAGGTTCCTCTTGGTGAATCCTTCAACGACTGTATTCCTCCTGGTAAAAGATACTCCTTTAAACAAGTGATTCATCAACAAAGGGTTTCAGGTAGAAAGGTAAGTCAAATTATAGTGAGCTTAACCTTCCCTTTTATTTGCATGGTAATGTAAAAAATATTCTCCAAGCTCCAACCTATTTATGTTTGTGTACCTTTTGTTTGGACAATCGATTTAAGAAGGACATTTCTTCGGATTTGTGTCAGCTTGGCTTAGTGATTGATTTGACAAATACAACTCGATACTATCCAACAACCGATTTGAAGAAAGAGGGCATTAAGCATGTCAAGGCAAGTATTGAGTCATCCTGATTCTTATGACTGAACTGTTAGATTTTTAACTTTTTTGTTTGTTTGTGTTCTAGATTCAATGTAAAGGCCGAGATTCTGTACCTGATAATCCTTCTGTAAATAGCTTCGTTTACGAGGTACGTTTCTTTGGTGAATATGGGTATTTATTTTGTAGACTCTTGTGGAAATTCTGCCTCCTTTTATCTCCTTTTCAGCGATTTCTTTGTTGTGATAAATTTAGTGTATTGTATTTGCTGTGATCTTCTTTCAGAATCAAAAGACTGGATTTAGTAGTTATTTAAGGAAGCTCTTTTTAATTTCAGAATTTAGAAATTTGAGTTTATTATGACTCGATAAGGTTATATTTGTATTTTCATACTTAGGTTTCCTTAAGCTTTGGGTTGACCACTATATTTATGGACTTAAAAGTGGTTTCGTAAGAAAGGCTTTGAAATATTGAAATGATGAATGTTATTTGTTTCTGTCAACTCTACATAGTTCAGTTCCCATATAATTTTTTTTTTCAGTTTTCCCCACTTTTTTTCCCTTTCTTCTCTCACTCTCACCCTGTCCTCTATTTTTGTCTACTTCTCCTAGATAAATTTTGAAACAAAATATATCCGTATGATACTGGATATTTATAATTACTGATTCATGCAGGTCACGCAGTTTCTCATTCGTCAGAAACACTCAAAGAAGTATATCCTTGTGCATTGTACTCATGGACACAATCGCACAGGATATATGATTGTTCATTATCTTATGCGTTCACAACCAATGTCTGTTACTGAGGTTAGTTCATGTCAAATTCTTTCATGCTCATCCAATTAGTTTTACGTTTTTTTTAATATAAATTTTGATATTTCCTTTCATTTGGCCTCTGTGCAGGCTATAAAAAGATTTGCTGATGCACGTCCTCCGGGAATCTACAAACGTGATTACATAGATGCTTTGTATGCATTTTATCATGAAAGGAGGCCTGACACGATTGAGTACCCAATAATTCCAGAGTGGAAGAGACCTTCTGAATTTGATCTTAATGGTGAAGCAGTACCAGATGATGATGACGATGATGGAGGTTCAACTGCTCCTTTGAATGTATGCGTAATCTAAGAAGTATAGATTATTCTAAATTCATTTGATACTGGCAGAGTACTAGTGAAAAGTATTGACTTTTTGGGGTTTTTGGCTAGTCTATGAGTTGCATTTATTATCATAGATAACATATATGTTTATTTATTATCATAGATAACATATATTTTGATTAACTTTTTGACAGATTAACGGAAATCAATACTTTTTAAGCCGCTTTGATGCCTTTAAAATTCAAAATCAGTGTTCCTATTTTAGCTTGAATTTTCTGCATATGCATGAAATGATATATTTCTGGTTTGCTGTCACTTAGTAGAAGATTCTTATTTTTTAGGACAATCATGAGGTCCAGGTAGATATGACAAATGATGATGTTTTGGGCGATGAAATACCTAATGACCAGCTACTTTCCCTGCGGAATTTTTGCTATTCGATGTTAAAGCTGGATGCCAGAGTAGGTTTTTTGAGGACCTCTTTGTTTTTTATGTTTGCTGCTCCTTTATAGTTGTTACAACCAAGAAATTCTAGAATTAGATGTGCGAATATTTCATTTGTACTTAGTTACATATTTTAAAGATGATTTTAAGTGTTACCCTGCTTTCCTTTTCAACTTTGACATTTTGGGCGCATATTAGTGTTCTTTTGTTCAAATATTATGTTGAATGATAATTATTAATGTATTTGCGAAAAAGCCAAAATTGCAAAATTGTTTTATAAAATTTTATTTTATTTAAATTTTTTATGAGTACAGCCAAATTTGCAAAATAATTGAAATTTAATAAAATATATAGCAACAATGACATTTTTTTATTTCCCCTTATATTTGATATGCCCTTGTAGCTGTTTGGTTTAATATGGGGTCTGCTGGGGTCTTTTTCTGAAATGCAGGGAAGAAATATGATGTTTCCTGGGTCACATCCAGTTTCTCTCAACAGGTCCAACTTCTGCATCTTTTTTTTATTATAATTGTGCTGCAGTTTCATTCTTTTTTCTTAAGCAGCTAAAACCATTGTTTGCTTTAAAGATGTTACACCCTTGTATTTAGTTAACGTAACACCAATATTGCTTGTAACACTCAAAAGAAGCTGTGTTTTGGGTAATATAAATATTAGTTGGTAGTATTCACAAGGTTCTGCTGCTGGTGTGAAGGATTAAGTTGAAATATGTTTGTTCTTTTTTCAGTATGTTATTTACTGGAGTTTCAAGGCTGCTTGGATTCATAGATATCCTATTGTTCTTGTTGACCTATAGTTACGTTATTTTTACCATCTCACAGGCAGAACATGTTACATTGTTTCTTAAAATCTCACAGGAAGAACACCTTAACTTATTGTGTGGAATAAAAAAACTGAAGTGGTTCTCTTTGTTTTTGCTTAAAGGATAAAATAAAACATACTGATTCAACTCTTGGGAAATGATCTAATGTTCCAATTCATTTTGTTTTTTATTAGCTATCTAGAGCTCTGTTAGTCTGGGGATTTATTTATGTTATGCTGCCTTGATGTTAATAAAAAGTTGGTAAAAAAAGTTTTGGTAGCTGAAGGCTTAAGATCAGCCAGCAGAAAGCTCCTCTTATCATAATGGGGGAAGTTCACATGGTTGAAAAAGTACTTTAAGCCTAACCTGATGGGTCATAAAAGCTATAATCTAGTGAAACTTGTAGCTTATATTGGTGGAGCAAAAGGCCTGAGGCTAGAGTGATCTGATGGGGGACGGCTAAGTGAGCAAATGTGTGACTACAGTCAAACATGACTGTTCGAAGTGGAATTGTGTTGTTTTAAGTTTACTTTTGATTGAATGATGAGATACCTTTGCAGACATCCCTTTTCCAATATAGCTTGGTATTTGTTTGATATTTTTTAGCAGTATAACAAGTAACAAATGGAGTAGAGATTTGAAGTGAACTAGAATGGATAAGTACGGGGTGGGTGAGCTATGATTTCATATAGTTGTAGTGTCGAGAAGCCAATACATTAGAGTTTATGTCTTCTTTTCTTGAGCTATGCTGTATGTGTTTTGAAGGTTAGAAGTCTGGAAGTGATAATTGGGTGACCAGATACCTTTTTACATTCTTGGCTTTAGAGTGGGAACCTGGACTGCCTGTCCTGCCCTGTTTTGGGTTGCCGTTGGCAAGAGCGAGTTAGTAAACCTCTAATGTGAATTCCAACTCTACTAACTTTGACCAACAAGTTAATATGGTTTGACTGCATTGAAGCTCTTGAAATTTTTATAATCGCTTGATGTTCAACATTTTTGTGTTTGATATATTTAGAAGATAAGCAACACCCACCAAGACCTATTAAGTGAAGAAATTTAGCATTGTTCCATCATTTTTATAGTCTATGCATGCTGTTTAATTCTTAACTCCACCAGACGAGTTTTGGGACTAATGTGTCACCTGATATGACAATTTCTCTCTCTTGATTATTAGAGTAATTGAAGATGATGTTGACCACATCTGTTTTTTTTCAGTGACTTGTAGTAGTAGTAGTTTACTTTTCTTATATTTTCTGGATTTGATAATGGCAGCTATAGTTTATTTGAGTTGCTTCTTGTCTAAAAGTGGATGCTTATTTTGCGGTATGCAGGGAAAATCTGCAACTGCTGAGACAGCGTTATTATTATGCAACATGGAAAGCTGATGGGACAAGATACATGATGCTCATAACAATGGATGGATGTTATTTGGTTGATAGATGTTTTAATTTTCGAAGGGTTCAGATGAGGTTTCCTCTCAAATTGCCAAATGGAGTATGTATCTACAGTCCGTGCCTTGAGGAAGTTTCCTGGTATTTAGACCCTAGTTACTACCATTACTGATGGCTTCTAATTTGTTAAATTATTTTGCTTCTAAAGGCTGGTGTGAGTGAGAAAACTCACCACTATACATTGCTTGATGGGGAGATGATTATTGATAAATTGCCAGACTCACAGAAGCAGGAGAGAAGATACCTTATCTATGATATGATGGCATTGAACCATGTCTCTGTCATTGAGGTGGGTTTTCAATAAAATATGTGATGGTTCATGTTATGTACTGCAGGAATGCAGTTATATATTATTTTTTTTATGTAGCTGTATCCTGATATCCTTAGGCCAAAAACTAATGCAAGTAATAGTTATATGCCAGTGTCAGTTTTACTTTAAATAATGTCACTTTTTTCATCATTTACAAGTTAGTTATACCTAGTCTAGAGCCATGTTTGAGGGAATCATTAGAACCATGTATGTTCTTACTGTCTCTATCCATGTTGAAATGTACCTGGAAATGGGTTTCATTCATCTTGTCCTCAATATCAAATTGTAGATATTCTTCATGTTCCTAATCCAGTTTCACCATCCTTATCTTGGCTATACTTTTGTATTTTTTTTTTTAATTGTTCATCTTCCTGTGTANTAAGTACGGGGTGGGTGAGCTATGATTTCATATAGTTGTAGTGTCGAGAAGCCAATACATTAGAGTTTATGTCTTCTTTTGTTGAGCTATGCTGTATGTGTTTTGAAGGTTAGAAGTCTGGAAGTGATAAATGGGTGACCAGATACCTTTTCACATTCTTGGATTTAGAGTGGGAACCTGGACTGCCTGTCCTGCCCTGTTTTGGGTTGCCGTTGGCAAGAGCGAGTTAGTAAACCTCTAATGTGAATTCCAACTCTACTAACTTTGACCAACAAGTTAATATGGTTTGACTGCATTGAAGCTCTTGAAATTTTTATAATCGCTTGATGTTCAACATTTTTGTGTTTGATATATTTAGCGGATAAGCAACACCCAGTGAGACCTATTAAGTGAAGAAATTTAGCATTGTTCCATCATTTTTGTAGTCTACGCATGCTGTTTAATTCTTAACTCCACCAGACGAGTTTTGGGACTAATGTGTCACCTGATATGACAATTTCTCTCTCTTGATTATTAGAGTAATTGAAGATGATGTTGACCACATCTGTTTTTTTTCAGTGACTTGTAGTAGTAGTAGTTTACTTTTCTTATATTTTCTGGATTTGATAATGGCAGCTATAGTTTATTTGAGTTGCTTCTTGTCTAAAAGTGGATGCTTATTTTGTGGTATGCAGGGAAAATCTGCAACTGCTGAGACAGCGTTATTATTATGCAACATGGAAGGCTGATGGGACAAGATACATGATGCTCATAACAATGGATGGATGTTATTTGGTTGATAGATGTTTTAATTTTCGAAGGGTTCAGATGAGGTTTCCTCTCAAATTGCCAAATGGAGTATGTATCTACAGTCCGTGCCTTGAGGAAGTTCCCTGGTATTTAGACCCTAGTTACTACCATTACTGATGGCTTCTAATTTGTTAAATTATTTTGCTTCTAAAGGCTGGTGTGAGTGAGAGAACTCACCACTATACATTGCTTGATGGGGAGATGATTATTGATAAATTGCCAGACTCACAGAAGCAGGAGAGAAGATACCTTATCTATGATATGATGGCAATCAACCAGGTCTCTGTCATTGAGGTGGGTTTTCAATAAAATATGTGATGGTTCATGTTATGTACTGCAGGAATGCAGTTATATATTATTTTTTTTATGTAGCTGTATCCTGATATCCTTAGGCCAAAAATTAATGCAAGTAACAGTTATATGCCAGTGTCAGTTTTACTTTAAATAATGTCACTTTTTTCCTCATTTACAAGTTAGTTATACCTATTCTAGAGCCATGTTTGAGGGAATCATTAGAACCATGTATGTTCTTACTGTCTCTATCCATGTTGAAATGTACCTGGAAATGGGTTTCATTCATCTTGTCCTCAATATCAAATTGTAGATATTCTTCATGTTCCTAATCCAGTTTCACCATCCTTATCTTGGCTATACTTTTGTATTTTTTTTTTTAATTGTTCATCTTCCTGTGTAACACAGTTACCTGATAGTTGTCCTTGTATATGGGTTTTGTTCCTAATCGCACATAACTTATCATAGACCATCAGACTTCTTAATATGATTCATTTAAAAAAAAAGGTTAAACTATTGCTCCCAGTAAACGTACTCATATTATATATGAATGACAAGGAGATTGATAGGAACATATTAAGATCTAAACTATGTAAAAAGTGTATATTAAAAAGTTCCATTTTGCTTTAATCTACTTGTGTTACTGGAAAACTTTGTGACATGTTTTAATGGCTAAGATGGTGAATCGATAGGTGCTACTGGAGATGCTGTGATGGATGTTGGAAAATGGGCTGGTTTACCTCAATGTGTAATATGACTTTATTTAGGGACAAATAGCTTAGAAGCTGAAACAATGGATTTGCTTACTCGTACTAGATTTACAGTGTTATTGATGGATTGAATGCCAATATTATCTCATTTCTCCACCAACGAATTCAATAATCAATCAAGGGGACTTTAAATGCTCCCTTTGACATATATAATAAAATGTGAGAAAACATAGTATTAGACATTTTTACTTTCTGGAAGCTGTATTGTCAACTACTAACTGATGTAGAGAAAGTGGTTGGCATGCTTTTTATCCATTTGCTAAGTTGAATTAAGGGCATATGTTAATCTACTTTCTTTAATTTTAGTATTCAAGTTCTCTAGGAAGTGTGAGGATAGTCTGCTTGTCAGGTCTATATTAAACATATACATTACCACTTGCATTTGTATATGATTTTCAATTTACTTTTGTTATTTTCACCATATCATTGAATGTGTATGTATTCTGGCTTATGATGAGCATCTACTAACTTTAATATGTGGTCATCGAAATTGGTTCAGCGGCCCTTCTATGAACGGTGGAAGATGCTGGAGAAAGAAATTATTGAACCTCGGAACATTGAGCGACATAGTATTTACTCAAGTAAAAATCCTTATTACAGATATGACCTGGAACCCTTCAGAGTATGTTTTGACAACCATCAATCCATCTCCTACCGGTTCTTTCCCCTTGTGACTTTGGTTAGTGACTTGCTCAATTTGTTTATCAGGTCAGGAGGAAAGACTTTTGGTTGTTGTCCACCGTTACCAAACTTTTGACTGAATTTATTCCGAGGCTTTCACATGATGCGGATGGCCTTATTTTTCAGGTAATTGAGGATCATAACATTGATTGCAATATCAAAACTGGGAACTTTTTTTTAACAGTCTTGATAGGTTTTCATGCCTAAGGTCAAACCTAGTGGGAGAGAAACAACATATTCCTTTTTCATGAGTATTTTTCCTTCCCAATTGCAGCATATAACTCTTCATTGTACTGCATTGGGTTCTTTCTTATCATGCCAAGTATTTATAAACTAAGTATGGGGCATTTTTATTATTGGCTCACAGAGGGGTGTGTGTCAGGCTATCTGTTGATTTCTTTCAGCTTGCCCAGAAAATTGCCTTGATTTCTTTCTTGATATTGGCATGTAAAATTGCTTTGGCTTTTGCAGGTCAAAATCTCATCTGTGTATAATGTAATTTATCATCTAAGATATTTGTAACTTTAGCAGCAATTTCCTGCCACTATTGAAGCATTAATCCAATTGGAATTAGTGACCCACTGTTAACAGATAATTTAGTTTCCAGGCAAACTTTGCCATGTCTTAGTTAAGTTGAGACTTTCATCATTAGGTTGTACAGCAGTTTTTACCAGTGATATTATGTTGCAGGGTTGGGATGATCCATATGTTCCACGCACACATGAAGGCCTTTTGAAGTGGAAATATGCGAGAATGAACTCGGTTGACTTTTTATTTGAGGTACACTATCATATTTACTTTGGTTGGCTGTTGATTTGTGTCTCTTTATCTATATCCAGTAGCATGTTTATCTATAAACTCCTATGATATTTGGTTGGTACATGTTGACACAGGTAACTGATGATCGTCAACTACTTTTTCTGTATGAACGAGGGAAGAAGAAACTGATGGAAGGGAATTCTGTTAAATTTGAAGGTTGATACGTTCTCTCTGTTTTCTCACTTCTAGTTTCTTGTAGTTTTTTGATGCATTTATCTGTCATCATGAGTTGAAATTTCTGAATGTGGAATCCCAGCTTTATGGATGTCTTACACAGCATTCACAGGTGTCACCTATAAAGCCAGAAGTGGGAACCACTTTTGATGTTAAGTGATAAAATTATCAAATTTTTAATTATGTTCCCAATATGTGTATAGGGCAGGATTGATAGTTCCTACATTATTCATATCATCTTATAGTTTTAGACTTACAGACATAGATGGTGCTTATAAACCTTCGCTTTTTCTCGTCATTGTTTGGCATGATAACTTATGACCTTATGGAGAATATTGCTGTTATGGGGACCCAAATAGCATAAAGCCATTCAAAATAAGTTGGCAGTGTTACTGATTTTATTTAGGAAGTCAGAGATAATGCACTACTTTGCCACCCTGAAATTTTTGTTGGGGCTGAGTTTTGGTTTTCCATTTTTCACATCGATTAATCACTAGGATAGAATAAGCTGTGGAAGATCTTATGGTGACTTACAGGATAATTTATTGAATTTTCAGCTTGTCATTTGGCTCATTCTGATTATTTTTCCAGCTTTAACCAATATTATTTGGTGGATTAAATGTTTGCTTGTGGAGCTGTCCATTTATAGATTTTTTGAAAGTGGTTAAAGTTACTTTTGGTAGTCATTTGGTTTTCGTTTTGTGAATATAACATCTCGATTGTCAACGTCTACGCAATTACTTTGAGCTGAATCAAATCTTTTTCCATTTCATTTCTGTAACTTTTATTTCACGTCTTGGCAGTTCTTTATATGGGCGCATTTTTTTTTTTTTTTATCATCATTAGTTGTAGATTAGCCCTTTACTTACCCTCCCAATGCATTTAAAACTCGCAGATGGTTCAGATCCATCTTTTTACTCTGGGAAGATTATTGAGTGTGGTTGGAGTCCAGAGGAACAGGTATGGGTATGCATGCGGATCAGGACAGATAAATCCACTCCGAATGATTTCAATACCTACAGGAAGGTTGGTCCATTTCTTCTCTTCTTTTCTATAATGTTCTGAATCTTTCGACTCTATCAGACTAAGTAAAACTTGCTGGTTTAAATAGGTGATGCGGAGTATAACAGATAATATAACTGAGGATGTCTTGTTGAATGAGATTAATGAGATAATTCGCCTACCAATGTATGCTGATAGAATACGGAATGATAGCAAGAGACGACTTAGGTGATGGTGGGCGGTTGAGGCGCAGATGTCCAACATGTTTTCAAGAGCACCCAGTAATAAGAGAATAGGTGTATCTTTTTATTCTTTTGCTTGCGTTAGCCAGTGCAGGTGTTAGTTGGGCGACTACTTGGTCTAAAGGGTCATCGAGTTAATATTGTAATTAGCTATAGCCCTTTCTATAATATTCTAGCGTGTGCTATGCTGGTGAGTTGTATGATCCAGCGAGTACACTTGAATAGATCTTGACTTCATGTCTGAAATTATTTTTCCGATCATTGTCCAGATCAAGAGAAGTAGGTTTAGCAATACCGACGCCAGTGTATATTATTAGTATTATCTCCACCCTCCCAACCGCATTTTATGTATTAGTGATTTATAAGTTGCTTAATAGGTAGTCATATTTGTAGAACCGTAACGGCACAGTTGTTCCATTTTGTGGATTTGCATCATCCCTTACTGTGAATATTACTTTATGGCAGCAGGTGAAATATGCGTCCTTCTGATTTTCTTCTGCCTCTCTTAGTATTAACTTATTATTCTTGTTGATTATAAATTTATAAGGAAAAAGATTTGGTATTGATTTAATACCCAACCCGGGTCAAGGGCCCGGGGTCTCGGGTTAACCAGTCTAACACACCGGTCAAACCAATGCTGACGTCAGTATCACATCAGCAAACTAAAACATTTGTAAACCCAAATTTTTATTATCAATTTAACCCCCACTCTCTTTCCGTCTTTGCTTCCAAATTTTTACCGCTTTCTCTGGGCTAGGGCTGGATTTTATTTTCCTTCTCTCTTTTTGTTTTATCTTCCTTTGTTTTCTCTTTTGTTTTAATATGCTCTCAAATTTGTAAGGGATCTACTAGCTTCACATCTTGATGTACTGCTGGGTGTTGAACTGTCATTCAAAGCCAATATGTGTTGGCTATCATCAAACGAAGCACATGTGGCTCGAAGTAGATTTTCTCAGTTTCACCATCCCTCTCCAATGAAGATTGAAGAATCAAGAATCAATTAGCAACTGGTTTAAAAGATGCAGGGTTGAATTTTAGGGATTTATTTTTTTGACCCGGTTTTGACACATTGATCCAACAGGCCAGCAGATCCAAGAGGTAAGAGAGATGAAATGAAGAAGTTAAGAGAGATGCAATGAAGAAATCGCAAAATGGGAGAGTGAAAATATGGTTTGGGGCTCATGCAATGAAAATTTAGGGAAAATTGGTGAAAAAAAAATCGGATTTTAGTAAATAAAAAAGGGGAGTAATGGTTGAATCGGTTTTTTCAAAAAACCGGTTGGATCGGCGGGTTGCTACAGTATCCCCGATCCAATTACAAGTTATTCTGGGTGAAATCATCTCTCCGGGTTTTATGTCAACCCAACCTAGCTCAGAGGCCGATTCCCGATTCAATCGGTCGGGTTGGATCGGGTTTTAAAACATTGCTATCAATTGCATTATTTTAAAACTCGACCGTGTGTTAACCTGGCCAAGTAGTCAGGTCACGGGTTGGTTGAACCCTGGGTTAACCTATCAATTGATAGTATTGGTTTTTCAGTCGGCTTGGACTAGATTTGGTCTCGGTTGCTGGTTCAATCGGTTAAACTGGCTTGTTTGGGTTTTAAAACAGTGCCTAATTTTTAATTGCCCTGAGGCAATACTTCACAATTTAAGCATTTTATGGTGTGAAATAATATATATACATTTCACAATTTGAACATTTGAGTTATAGTGTTAAATAATATAAATTTTTTTAAACATGTTTAAAATAAAAAAAAATTAATTAAAAACTTAAGCAAATTATTTCAAACAGCGAAATATTATCACAATGTAGCCTTCCAATAGTGAAATACAAACTTCTATTGTTATAAAATTAAATCTCAAATTAAAATCCCGTATTTAGACTGTCAGGAATATTATCTCTTTTAGAAAAACGAAAACATTAAAAAAAAAAAAAAAAAAAGTACGGTTTACTGATCACGTTTAGCCGAAACATTTTTATTTTTTAAGACCTTTTCGTTCCGAAATTCGGTTTCCAAATTGTCAACTCACGACATGAACGACGAGCAGTCTATTAGATTTTGTCGCGGCAGGGATTAATTCATTGAAATTGACAGATAGATTAGATCCTTAGAACCCTAATTCAAATAAATCGCCTCTTCGTCTGTTCTTGTTCTAGTAGGGTTCCTATATGTTCAAAAGGATCAATAACCAATCCATTGTTTTTGTTGATCGTATTTCTTGGTGAACATATGAAATCCTCAACAACCAGCGTATTTTTAATTTGTGTATTACTCTCCGTTACGTTCCTCAATTTTGTTCATGGCGCCGACTCAGAACAGAATAAGTTTCGTCAGCGACGGGCTACAGACGATGAGCTCGGTTACCCTGAAATGTGAGTTCATGATACTTTTGTACTTACTTTACTTGTATTCACCGATTCGAATTGTAAATGTATGATTGTTTTTTTTTTAATTAATTTGTAGAGATGAGGATGCGTTGGTGAATACTCAGTGCCCTAGAAATTTGGAGCTGAGATGGCAGACTGAAGTCAGCTCTAGCATCTATGCCACCCCTTTGATCGCTGATATCAACAGGTTTGATTCATGATTCTACCAATTATACTCATCTCAAATCAGTTGGATATGATTTTGTATTCTTTTAATGTGATATATATATATATTTTTTTAAATTTTAGTGATGGGAAGCTTGAAGTAGTTGTTCCTTCTTTCGTACACTACCTAGAAGTGCTTGAAGGCACTGATGGAGACAAAATGCCAGGTACGAATAATATTTCTCATATCTGTTTGTATGTTGATTTGGCATATCCTGAGCGTAACTGGAAATTCTATTTTGTTTAATTGTAGAAATCTTAATATGTGATTTTCTTGTGATATTCGGAGATATCTAATCATTCGCTAGAAAGAATATAGGTAAAAGTAAAATCGTCTGATGTAGAGATTCTGTGATTTATTAGGTTGGCCTTCTTTTCACCAGTCAACTGTGCATGCTAGTCCACTGCTATTTGATATTGACAAAGATGGTGTGAGAGAAATTGCACTGGCGACCTACAATGGTGAAGTACTGTTTTTCAGGTAATTTTCCTCTTTGTACTATTCTCTTAGCTATTATGTGATATTTGGTAATTAACGTGGTTCTCAGTTGCCAATATGCCCAGAATCATTGTAGATATATTCATCTTATTTTTTGTTTTTTAGGGTTTCCGGCTACATGATGACAGATAAATTAGAGATTCCTCGTAGGAGAGTTCGTAAAGATTGGTATGTTGGTTTGCATCCTGATCCGGTGGATCGCACCCATCCAGATGTCCATGATGATCTACTTGTTAAAGAGGCTGAGGCTGCTCACATGAAATCAACGACAGGTAAGTTACATCAGGATTTAGGGAAGTTCTGTGTACTTCCCAATGCAGATAAACTTATGTTCTTTGACTTGTCAATCAAGTAGATTCACTACTAGCCTGGATTTCTCTTATCTTATGATTTTTTGCCGAGACTTTAGCTACTTGACTGGATCATTCATTTTAACCTATTTTTTCATGACATGGTCAAGATTTCTAGGATTTACAACTATTAAAAATATAATAAAATGTATAAATAGTTAATTATTGTGATTGTCAGTCTGTGTTTAGCAATAAGAGCGTGTACCTTCTGACAAGAATCAAGTAGCTAGTAACTAATGTTGGTTATCATTTTAGAAAAGGAAGGAACTCCACCTGAACTGAACACAACAGCTTCTACTTCTACGGAAGGTATCCCCAGAGTGGTAAACATGTCAAAGTCGGGGGATGAAAAGAAAGTAAATGAGAGTCAAACTGAAACAAACATAAAGCTTACTACATCAGTGGATAATTCTTCATTGACAGTGGATAATTCATCCTTGACTGCTGGTTCAGAGGGAAATAGTAGTTCAGAGAGTAGAACAAACTCCGGGAGACGTCTTTTGGAAGATAACAACTCCAGAGGGTCTCATGAAGGCAGTTCAGAGTCTAAAGATGATAATAAAGAGGATGCTCGTAAGGCAACTGTGGAAAATGATTCTCAAGCGTTGGCAGATGATGCAGATCGAAGTTTTGAGCTATTTCGTGAGGGTGATGAGTTGGCTGATGAGTATGGCTATGATTATGATGATTATGTGGATGATGCAATGTGGGGAGATGAGGAGTGGCAAGAAGGGCAACATGAGCAAATGGAGGATTATGTGAATATTGACTCACACATATTATGCACGCCTGTAAGTGGTCTCGAATCATTACACTGCTCTTTTAATATATGTGAATATTGACTTTTATATATTTTGGTACTGATGAAATGTATTTGTCCCATTTTCATCAGGTCATTGCGGACATTGATAACGATGGGGTATCTGAAATGATTGTTGCTGTTTCCTACTTCTTTGATCATGAGTGAGTTCTATTTTATGGTGTCACAACTTGCGATTCTAGTTCCCTATTTTTCTTAAAAATATTTAAATTCAGATTCAATGATTAAAGTTGGCTTTCTCTTGTGAACTTGAGCTGTAGCATTGAATGTTGTATGAGAAGTCAGTCATCAATCATATTCTCATATAGCCTTAAAAGTTTCCAAATTTAAAGTGCATGCCTTGTGCTTTTTAAATAACCGGTCCAACTAATAGACACCTTATGAACTGACAGGTATTATGCCAGCTCAGAGCATTTGAAGGAACTGGGTGGTATTGATACTGGGAAATATGTTGCTGGTGCCATTGTTGTTTTTAATCTTGATACAAAGCAAGTTAAGTGGATCACAGATCTTGATCTAAGTACAGATAGTTCAAATTTTCGTGCATATATATATTCTTCTCCAACTGTCATGGATTTGGACGGTGATGGCAATTTGGACATTCTTGTTGGAACTTCTTTTGGCTTGTTCTATGTCCTGGATCATCATGGTAATCTCTTTGGATTGGTCACTGATTTTTTTTCTTCTAATGTGTTTCTGGTTGGAGCATATTTTATTTTAGTTATCCTATTTCTGGCCTTGGTTCAAATTTCAATTTTAGTCATTTTCGAGAGCATGAGTTTCTTTAATCTTTGACACAGTGGCGCCCAGCTTGGATATCGATGCTTTGTGGGGATTATGAATTAGAGTTCTTTTGTCAAGAAAATTGTGCTTGACTGTGATATGACTTTCTTTATTTGCAATTGCCCAATTTCGCTTGTGGAAGTAGTTGTATTAGATTCTTTAGTTTTTGTTTTCTTTCTGCTACATTATTCCTTACGTACTTATATTACGGTTATATCTGCTATATAAAAAAATTTAACTTTGTCTTTATTAAAAAGCACTTCATGGTAATTGAAAATGATTACATTTCAATTTAAGTTTCTGGGATTATGCTTTCCAGGAAATTATATGGATAGTAGGCTCTGATCAAATTTTGTTATGTTTGCAATATATAGCTTTCTTATACCCAGGACCTGCCTACTTTTGTTTTTAACTGGAATTTGAGATAATCTTGGAGATCCTTTACAGTTATATAGTCCCACTGAACTTATATAGTTCACTTTACTTTTTCATATTTTTTCTATGATCCAACTGCTGGTCTAATCTCAATGAGAGACAATTATAATCACTAATAAGCATGTATAATAGAATATAGAAGATCATTCAATATGATATTGAGGCAGATTCTTTATTTCAAGTTGCTAGAGATTTATACAGAGAACTGCAGCAGTGAAGAGGAATTTGCTGTGTATGTATTCATGATTGAAAATTATGTTTATACAAAGATCTCCCTGATTAATTTTTTTCTTTTTATCAAGACTGATTATGAATGTACTAGCAACTTAGTGAAAATTCTCTTTACCAATTTTGAAACTAAATTGTAACACTTTTGCAGGCAAAATTAGAGAAAAGTTTCCTCTTGAAATGGCGGAAATTCAAGGGGCTGTTGTTGCAGCTGATATTAATGATGATGGCAAAATTGAACTAGTGACCACTGATACACATGGAAATGTTGCTGCTTGGACTGCACAAGGAGAGGAAATTTGGGAACAGCATCTGCAGAGTCTCGTTACCCAGGTTTATTGCAGTGTCAATTTCTCAATATGAACTTGTGCTGGAATCACTCATAATATCAAGCGTATTAGTTTGACTGATAATGCATGGATATAGATTCTTGTCTCATGTGTGCCCCATGTATCAGTCCATAAGGAGGCGTACCTTATTTGTAATTGACTTTTAGCTAGTACTTAATCTCTAATTATTTACATAGGACATCATAGATGTGATTATGGTATAACTGTATTAGAATACTTGTTAATATTAAAATGCATGTTCATGCTTAGCACAAAGAAGTTGCACCTAATTCTACTTGTATGGATTTATTTGTCTATTTATTCTGAACTGTTCATACAACATTGCACATGGTGATTTGCTTTAAAGGTCGCTTCATGAGTCATGTTTGTTTCTGCTTTGTTGTAGGCCAGTGATTGTTGATTAGCATAGATACCTTTAGTTGCTTGATTATAGAGCTTTCTGAAACACCTTATTTGCAGGGGCCCTCTATAGGTGATGTTGATGGGGATGGCCATACTGATGTTGTGGTTCCAACCCTGTCAGGGAACATTTATGTTCTTAGTGGCAAGGATGGCAGCAAAGTTCGTCCTTATCCATATCGAACTCATGGAAGAGTGATGAATCAAGTTCTTCTTGTTGATTTAAGTAAACGTGGGGAGAAAAGCAAGGGGCTAACACTTGTTTTGACATCATTTGACGGTTACTTGTACCTAATAGATGGACCGACATCATGTGCTGATGTAGTTGACATTGGTGAAACTTCGTAAGATATTCCTTCCTTGGAGCCGTACTGCGTCCCCTCTTTTCTTTTTTCAAATATCTAACTAAAATGTAAGTCTCCACATGACAGATATAGCATGGTCTTGGCAGACAATGTTGACGGTGGAGATGATCTCGATCTTATTGTTACAACGATGAATGGCAATGTTTTTTGCTTCTCAACTCCTGCTCCACACCATCCCCTCAAGGCAAGATAAATCTGAACCTTTGTTTGCAGATGATTACATGGAGATTTTCCCAGCATGTTAGATATCATTTACATGCTATCATTTTCAGGCATGGAGATCAAGTAACCAAGGGAGAAACAATGTTGCACAGCGTTACAACCGTGAAGGGGTCTTTGTTACTCATTCATCAAGAGCTTTCCGAGATGAGGAAGGCAAAAACTTCTGGGTGGAGATTGAGATTGTAGATAAATACAGATTCCCATCCGGGTCTCAATCACCATATAATGTCACTGTAAGTTGCTTTCCTCCGTGCGGAGTATTGTTTTCACCATATAATCTTTAAATCTTTCTAGATCTGAATCTCTTGAATTGATTCCTATATTCTGTTAAAAAATGCAGACAAGCTTGTTGGTTCCGGGTAATTACCAAGGGGATAGGACGATTAAGCAAAACCAAATCTTTGAACGGCCTGGTAAATATAGAATTAAAATGCCAACAGTTGGAGTAAGGACTACAGGGACAGTGCTGGTGGAGATGGTTGACAAGAATGGACTCTATTTTTCAGATGAATTTTCTCTCACATTCCATATGTATTACTATAAACTACTGAAGTGGCTCCTTGTTCTCCCCATGCTTGGGATGTTCAGTGTGCTTGTCATCTTTCGTCCGCAGGAGGCCGTGCCTTTGCCGTCATTTTCACGGAACACTGACCTGTGATGATTGTCCCATATTAAGATTTACTTGCCGATGTTGTCAAGACAAGAACAGCTCTATTTACCTGAGCCAAGGCCAGATACCTCAATGGATTGAGAATTAAATCCACTGGGAAACAGTTTCTGACAGCAAAGTATAATTTGATCTTAGACTGCCTCAAAGGCGATGGCCTCAACTGGATGATTTTTGAACCAAGAAATTCGGGACTTGTAACATAGTTTAATTTGAGTTTAAAATGTTTCAATACATAGATAGTCAAATGAGGAAATAGATATTTATTGAAAGTTGAAGCCTCTCTTTCACAGTAATTTCAAATGGAGATGTGAGCTTGGGTAGTTAAGTATTTAAATCAATGTTTTCAAAACCCAACCGTGAAACCTGGCAAAGTTGCAGGGTCTCGGGTTAATTGGAAGTTAAACTGGTTGACAAAAACTTTTAAAATTTAGCAAATATACCATTAAAAATTACGTTACATCCCTATAGGTTTGAAATTTAGCAAATACACCCCAAATATAAATTGGTCGGTGACTGGTTGGCGGTGACGACACCCTAGATGCAGTCTCAATCATTCCTTCAGCCCATTCTCCTTAAAATATATCGAAGATCTGGCCAAAATTGGATTTCGACCAAATATCAACGAAGCTGGCGTCTGCATTCCAAGCTAGATCTTATCGACATCAGCGTTAACAACCCTCTCCATCACCTAGAAATTACTCCCCTTTTCCTCCTGACCAAAACTCACCTCACCCCACCCCTGTTAGCCTCACCATTCACCAATCGCCGGCAAAAGCCGATTGTTGTTGCTACCAGTTTTTGTTCGATTTCCGGTCGATTTACTAACCGAAAATCAACGTCGTCACCACCATTGCATTCACCGGTAGTTTCTTTTCAAAAGCTCTAACATCTCGACTAGCAATTGTTCGCTGATCATCCTCCCAAATTTTAGGGTTTTGGATGAATAGGAAAAACATAAACTCAACCCGTTGAAGCTTTCGCATCTTGATTCAACCGGTCGGGCTGGACCGAGTTTTAAAACAATGAATTCTAAATAAAACCAAAGTACAAATTCCTAATGACCTACTTAACATTGGGTTGCATGAAAATCAACTTTAAAACGATTGATAGTCTTTTTTGGAGAATCATCTCATGCAAAACTGCCCTTTTGCCTTTTCTTTCCCAGGGAGGGAGTGTGGAACATAAGACTGTTTCCACCTTTTAAGTAAACATTCTATCAGTAACACATTTGTAAACCACCGTTGGGTGTCATAATAATAAAAGTAAAAAAAGGTTTTATAAGCTCCACTAATAAGAGTGATCATTAGAGTTTTTACCTATTCGACAATTTCAAGACGTTGGGGGATTAGTTGAGATGCATGAAGGCGAATCTGGAGACACTCAGTAATTTAAAAAAAAAAAAAAAAATTACAAAAGATAGCATATCATTTGGATGAAAAATATGGGTTTTCATTTGGGATACATAGCATAATTCTTTGTATTAGGTGGAGCACAAATACATTTAAATCGTTGTACGGTTGTATATAATTCAGTATAACAGATAAAGAGAAACCTTTCTGCCTCCTCTATATACAAATATGAATAGTTCCCCGCCTAAGAACACTCTTCAGCCAAAAGGTGTTTACAGAAAGCAACCATATGTTATTCATACATGAACAATTCAAAGGCTAAATTCTGAACTATTTACAGACATCTTGTTTTCATTACTTATCACAGTATCAGATTGTATGCTCGCGCCGACAATGTCACCATGCACTTTGGTGAATATATTCTGCTATCCACTCAATATCCTTCTAAATGCTTCCAAGGTTGGAAGATGATGGCATATATTCCCAAAATTTCTTTCTTACGGATGAACACCCTCACCCAAAGTAAAGCAGAAGTTTCTTGGGGATGCAAGTCTGCAACCAATAGATATGGCTCTAAACTCTTGCCATAGAATAACGCTTAGTTGAAATAAGGTCATTATAATAGGTTTATCCTCGCAGGCTTACAGCATCATTAAGTGAATAATGCAGAAAAACATTTTGGAGTTGCAATATAACTGAAAACCAAACAATTTAATGCCACTCCTAAGAAAATAAGACTAGCTCACATATGTTTGCACCTTTTTCCTGATTTTATTGACTCTATTATAGCCAGCAACCTAAAGGTTGTATCAAACAAGTGCTCCCTATAAACCATTTCTCAAACTTTTGCACATCAGTATGCAATAATAGAAACCTAATGATTTAACATAAGATTTCCATTCTTGTGCTGAGAAAAGACATATACTTATATAAGAATATCAATTTGTTCAACTCATGAAACAATCTATGATTTTAAGCAAAAACAATTTACATATACAAAAGCAAGAAATACATTAAAATAAGATATCAATGATATGAGTTCCAATAGAACTGTAATCAACCCTAGAAGCATATCCAAAGTCTTGAACAACAAGCAGAAAAGCTTACATCATCATGATCAAAAGACCTGCAACACAGGCCTCTTGCCGAGCCTCTTAATTTCTCTATCCATATTCCCTGTAAGCATCAATCCAAACATCTTGTAATCACAAAAAAGAGACCATAACGGGTGCCCAAAAGTAGCCGGAACATTTCCTTCAACAAAGAAATGACTATACCAGGCGAATCCATAACCAAAGATTGGCACACACACCAGAAAGCACCAATTAAACAATATCGAGAAAAGCAAAAAGATAATACTACTGAGTGTTCCCACAAAGTGCCAACGCCTTGTACTTTTTTTCGAGTGTTGGCTCACATAGAAAGCCCAAAACTCATCTAAGCTCCTAAAATTCATGTCCTCAAGCAATGGTAAACTAACCCAATTCAGAAAAAGAAGTTTTTATATCTCGATCTTGATCCTGATTGACAGGTGTCCTTTGAAAACCCTCCCTTATCAAAAAAAACAAAAAAACCAAAAAAAAAAAAGGCAAAATTTTGATTATCTGGGTGGGTTTAGTTTAGTTTGGTTTGGTTTGACCAGGAAAAGACTGATTGGGTTTAGTGGTGAATGGTGATGAGATTGTGGCTATGATTCAAAACATAAACAGAGACCAAAAAAGATAAAATCTTTGATATGGGTTTGACTGTAATTTGGTGGGAAGATATTTGTGAAATGGATTGAATGATTACCTAAAGTAGTTTTCGATGTAATTTGGGAACAAACATAGTAAACAATAAACATTAAGGTGAGTTGTAGTTTTGCTCGGTCTTCTTGTGACAAATCAAGGTAGGTTTCTTGTCTCTGCTTCAATGGTTTCTTGCTACACTCTTTCCAAAGTATTTTATTATTTTATGGTTGGTCCAATTTTTATTTTATTTATAATTATAATTTATTATTGATCTTTTTTTTAATGATACAGTATATAATAATATAAATCTTCAACTTAAATCATTGACATAAATATTATGTCATTCTTATGTAACAATCCAATGATTAGACAAGTTTTTAACATTTAAACTAAATTAATTTAAAATTTCTCCAAAAAATTGGTAGATAGTGATAGATGAATAATCATGAATTTGTCAAAATAATTTTAAATAAATAATATTTTTGGGTTTTATCATATTTTAGATTCAACTAACCACTAGTTTATTAATATCACGTCACAATTATAAAACACATACAGCAAATATTTAATTTTAAAACTTTTTAAAGGAAATATACTTATAAAATGATATAAGGGTATTTTTGTCTTATTAAATGGCAGAGACTACAAACTTAAAAAAAAAAAATTAGCAATAAATTCAGGGGTAAAATTGTAATTTCCCTCCCTTGGAATTGGTACTATTGTCAATTCTATGGGAGTGTGATTCTATTTTTATAATAATTTATGGTTTTTGTTATTGTTGTCATGATGAGCTCATCGTCATTTGAAGAATCTGAAAAAAAATGTGACAATTGGCAGATACCTAGATTGTCTTTCTTTTTCTTGACCAAAACAAAAAGAAAATCAATATTTTCCTAAATCTCAATAAAAATTGGAATGGATTCCTAATCAGAAGGTAGGTTTATATTTAATTAATTTCGGTAGGTCAAAAGTTAAGTCTTAATCTTGAACCCACTATGGGATTGGGATAAGGTTTATAAAAATAATCCCCTGCGCTATAATTAAATAACTGTTCAAATAAATAGAGAATTTTATACTATTACTAAAATCTCAAGGGACCATTTGGGATATTATAATTTAAAATAGAGTAAACGGCTTTTCTCTGTCCAAATAAAGGCTTAATAACACTTTCTTATCTACAGACTTTTAATATACTATTTTATTATCTAAATTTGTATTCTGTGTCTAATTTCGGCATCGTTGCGACGCCACACCACTACTATTTTCTTTCCCGATCATCACTCACCAAAACCCCTCAAACCCTACTCCTACCAACCCTCGCCAATCATCGATAATTAAGTAATTAGAGTTTGTGCAGCTACCTCTCAAGTCAAATTATGATCAATCCCAACTACCAAAATCTAACCTTTCACCATCAAAAGATTTATTAGTCTTCCCTCTTCAAAAGTCCTAACAGCTCAAAACGAGTTTGCTCTCTGTTCGCTGTTAGAATATAAATTTGAGTAATAAAATGATATTTTAAAAGTTTTTGAGTGAAAAAGTGTTATTAAACCATTATTTGGGTGAAAAAAAGTCGTTAGCTCTTTAAAATATAGGTTTAAAAATTTAAATAAGTGTCAGTCAAATTCACAGTTTGGACTAAATGAAGAAATCCCCAGTAAGATACACAAGAGGATAAAGTTCATAATATATAAGTACATTAGTAATTTTAGTTTCACAAATTTAATACAAAAATATCCCATTTCCTAATTTTCTTCTTTATCTGATTCTTGGAGAAAGAAAAATAAGAAACAATGGCATAATCTCACATTATGTGAGATCCATTTTTTGCCTGCTACACAAAGTTACCAAAGAATAATAAAACTGTACATTGATGAAATTTCTCCTCCATCTAAACCCATTTCATGCCTTAGACGTGATCCAAAATTTTAATAAATTAAATGAACTTATGCTCACTGCTCTTTTTTTGCTTTTTTGTTTTAATCTTTTTTCTGTTACTTCTTCATGATACAATCTAATTTCTGGGCATCTCAGTTTAGAAGACGCGTTCACCAGTAGCATACAGGTTCCAGAAAATGGTTGCGGCGAAGTAAAGACCGGCAGTGACAGTGAGGAATGCTTGAAAGGATCCAAGCCATTGAACAAAGTAACCAGTTCCGATTGTACTGACTATTGCAGCTAATGTTCCTGCTGAATTTGAAATACCATGGAGAAATCCTGCAGAATCTGGGGCTATTTCCTGATAACATAAACCAGGGAAACTAATTAACTTTCAGGTTAAATTTCTCCATACATAATTAATATGAATAGCGTTAATTGTTCTAAAGGATTTTGTCATGACTGAATGGGGAACTTACTTGCATATTTAGGAGAAATCCTGCCTGGCTGAAAGAGCTGAAGCTCAGAGCAGCTGTGATAAGTGTAGCTGCAACTGCAGGCGTCTTGGCAAAATTCAAGCAAAGCAATGACACTCCAGGTCCCATGAAACCGATAGACTGTTAAATCATGGTTATGTATCAGTAATGTGATTGTGAGGAAAATATGCACTGAATGTATTATGAGCTTGATAGAGGATTTACCTGCATAACCTTTCGGACTAAAGTCACAGGGTAGCCTGCTTTGATTAAGTTATCTGATGCTTTACCAGCAATATAGCCACAAACAGCCATTGTCCCCCACGGTACGGCACTGAACCAAGCTGCTTGCTTCAAGTTCACGTTGAATACCTGTATTCGCCAGAAAGAAAATGTATCGTCATTGAAGTGCTCATCATGCTGTACAGAGTACATGCTCAAACAGTATCAAAATAACCCCCAACATGATTTTTGGTGAATGCATTTTGAAACTTTCAGAACCTCTATCCTTGTTTGACTCTAATATATAAATTTTCCTAAAATTAGTAGACAGAATTAAAATTAGTGCAGTAATTGAGAATATTGGGACTTACAGTTCTGAAATAAATAGGCATCCATGTGAGAAGAACAAAGTATCCCTGTAATATGAAGGAAGTTCATAAGTATTAACACATGGAAAACTGTTAACCATGGCGAATGACTGTTGTGTTCAGATAATGAAAACTCACCCAATTGTTAGTAACATTAGCCAAAATAATTGCCCAGGTTGGCATTTTTGATAATAAGAGTCGCAGAGATGGAAGCTTTCCTTTCTTTCCTTTAGAATCAGTTTTTCCGGCTTGGATTAATCGCAGCTCTGATTTGCTGACAAAAGGGCTATCTCGAGGATCATCGGTGGCCATAGATGACCATGTCGTCATCCATAGCACCCCAAGAGATGAGAAGAGAAAGAAAGGACCAGTAATCCCAATTGTTGCCAACATAATAGGAGTAAGAACTAAACCGACAACATTGCCGAGATGAAATCCAGCCATGGAGATTCCAACTGCACTTGCTCGTTCATGACTCGGAAACCACCTAATCAAAGAGACACATCCAAATAGCTATCAGTCAAAATTCCTTTACCAGATTATATAGTAAATGAGCTTGTCATACCACAAATAATTGCAACTAAATTTAGGCACCCATCTAAACAAATAGCCAAAATTCGCGTAGTATTATGCAACGAATGCATAGTAGGCTTAGCAGGACATAAAAATAAACACAGTATATGACTAAATGACAACCTACTAATTGACATTATACCTTGATGCGAGGGTGCTCATGGCTGGCAGAGCCACGCCTTCGGCCAGTCCAAAGAAGGCGCGAACAGCTAAGAGGGCGGCTGTAGAATGGTTGGCAGCCCATGGAGTGAAGAGTGTGGACAAAGACCACAACACCACCCCACATGCCAGCACTCTTTTTCCTCCATATTTATCCACCAAAGCTCCTCCTACCACAGAGGAGAATATGTATCCCCATAAAAAGGATGACTGCAACACATGATGAACATATATTTCAATTAGCACATACACAATCACTTGTCAGAATTATTTACATCTATTAAAAGTGTAATATTAGGATGTAGTAATTCTTCTTCAGCAAGAATATTTAATTGCTTGACTGGTTCTGATCTGGTTATACAACCGTCTCAATACTTCCTTTTTCAGTATCTCTCATCATAATTAATAAATAATCACCCATTTCCATTAATTAATAAGCTTCACTGTCTTTACTTTATTTTACACTGTCCTACGTAAGTTCTTATCCTGATTTGGATACCTTAGCACCCAGGCTGGGATAAGGTTAGGTTGAAACCTCAACCAATCAGGCAGGGAGGTGTACCCTAGCGTACAATAGAATTAAAAAATAGAAAGAATGCCGTGTGAGACCCAAATGATCTCATATGTGGGTCCATCTTTGATTGTCTATGTACACAATTTGCTCACAAAGAAAATTAAAAATTGGCTTCGAAGAAAGGGACACAACACCGACAAGAGGCCCCCAGCCCCACACTTCTCCTAGTTAAAGGCAGAAAGAAGAGCCGATAGGATTTGGTCTCTTGCTGTACTGAGAACAAACAAATAATTACCCCACCAAATCAAAAAGACGAGAAAAAATATCCCAAATGAAAGAAAATTACCTAGACCAAGTTGTAACTTGAGATTTTTGAATTCCCAAAAGAAAAGGTGTATGGATCCAATACTTTTGACATGTAGGTTGGTCATTTCATTATTTAAGTTTCTTTTTTCAAACGGCGTCGAGCTAATAATAACATTTACGTTTTCTCAACAACCACATGACGCACTACCTTTCTTTTCTTTTATATTCTTTTTTGCTTCTTCTTCTAATCGTTCTACCAGAAACTAGAACGACAGGAAAATAAAATTTTACTCTGTTGACGAAGTATAACTTTTTAAAAGAGGTTGAAGATTATCCAATATCCATATGGATAATTTAAGAACCCGAAGAATTGTTTATATAAATTATAAAAATCTTTTTTTTTTTTTTTTTTTTTCCATTAAAATACATCCAGAGAATCCAACTACCAGTTCCAAGGAGAAGACCGAGACGTATTCTTATAGGACATTAAAATAATAATAATAATAACTCTTTGGTAAACGAACTACTCTTGAGTCTTGATCATCAAAGCGATGAAAACAAAGATAGAGAAATATTACCTGAACGATGCCGAGGAAAGAGCTGGACCAGCCATATTTGGCGGCCAGAGGAACGATAGCCACAGACATGACAACTCTATCAGCATTACACAAACACATGACACATGCAAGTAACGCCACCACCTTGTATCTTTCTGCCACCAGAACTTTCGTTTCTCCTCTCCCTCCTCCGATTAATAAACTCCTCTCGATTCCCTCCGCCGTACACCTCACCACACCTCCTCTCTGTTGCTTCTTTTTCGTTATTACGTCTCTGCTGGTTGAAAAGGACATATTTTCTCCCCATTTGACGCCCCCGGATGTTGTGAGGTTTCTTGGCTTAAACCCCAACTGGGATGTTCTAAAGTTGATCAAGTTTGATTGAGAGTTGAAGAAACAAGACGGCTTTGGTGAAATAGAGGAATGCAGCAGAGATTTAGCTGCCATGTTGCAGAGAGTTTGAGTGATATCGAGGATGAGAGAAGGAACCGTTTCAGGATGTGGTCTTTATAAATAAATGAATGTTGGTGTAGAAAATTATAAACAAAAAAGTCTTTAAATGAAGCACTAAATTATCCCAAAGAGTTGGTGAGTTGTTGAGGAGGATTAGACGAAATGCAGAACAGAAGACTTACTATTGAAAGTAAAAAAATAAAAAATTCTAAAAATAAAAAAGTATTTAACGTAATATTGTTTTTGTTTTGAGGGTTGGTGACAACCACTGAGCACTCCTTAAAAATACACTTGGAGGGCTTTTTCGTCCACGAAAAGTTTAGTAAGAGGTGTGTCCTACGTGTCAACACGTGTTGCCCACTTTCCATGGTGTCACCTAACCCTCTTACCGTCTCTAGTTTCTACCACCTACCACAGGGTAACTGGCTACCGGAACTGCCGGTCACATAAAATTCGAATCCCAGTCAATCCTGCCAAAACTTGGCGTCATCGTTGTATTTTCGTATTTTATATTAGAATTTTTTTTCCATACTTAAATTTATATACAATAATACGAACATACATTGTACTATAAAGGGTAACGTTACCTCTGAGTGAGAGATAACGTTGTCCCTATTTGTACATGCAATAATACTGTTTATGACGTGTCATTTACAGCAACATTATTCTCTAAACAGATCCAACAGATAAACGTTATTTAATTTAAAAACAAAATTTTCGGGAAATTTAATGTTAATGTTCGGATAATTAGTTAATTACCATTTACCACCATGCATCCACGTGACCACGTCATTTTATCCAAAGCCGTAAAAATCGAAACGGATGATATCTTTACCAATACTTCATAAAGTTGAAAATCTGGAATTCAACAACAACTTTATAGTTTAATTAAAATAAAAATGTAGGTTTGAAAGTCTCAGATTAAAATATCGGTAATTAAATTGAACGATGATGTTTATACTTACCTAACACACAAAGCGACTTAAAACGACACAGCATCAACATAAACAGTGCGGTTGCGCTGACGTTAGAGAGCATGTCTGACAGTATTAGTCTGACAGATCGATGGTACAGTTACTTGGATGATTTGGTGACTGCGTCTGCACTTAAATTGGGGTGGGGGGGTGGGGGGGATTGTGTGTTTCATATTGCTTGCTGCCAAAACCCTCCAAGGCTCCAACTTGGCTAATTACGTACGTCACTACCTGCGTCCCAATTCTAATGAACTTTCAACAACGACAAGTCGTTTATCCGAGGATTGATTTACCAGTACCTAAAGTCTAAAGATCAGGGATATATATTTTGAAATTCAAGTCGTACACTTGTACAGTTGTACTCAGGAATGGTTGTCAAATTCTTCTCTTTAATTATATATTTCCTTTTCTCTTTCTCTCTTTCATGCCAGTATTGTACGAAAAGGAAATAGTAACTGTTATGACTAAACGAGTCGGTCAGCTAATCCGGTATCAATTATATAATGAGATATCCCTCCCCTACATCCTACCAGAAAATAAACATCAGTGTAGAGAATTTGAAATTGTCAACCTATAAACTGGGGCATCGTTGATTGAAGACAGTTAAATTGCAGCAAGGAACGTTTCAATGGCAGACAGTATCGATCACTGTCATTAATTGTCAATTCTCAATCAGCTGAAGATTGGCTGGAGGGTTCCTGAAAATATTCGAATGACGAAGAAAGATAAATAATGTGTGATCAATATATGATCTAGTGGGATTTTATAATCAATTTACGGTGTAGGGTAGTGCTCAAAGTTAGGTGGGAATTGGATAATAAATGGCTATCGCCAATGAAAGAAATGCGATTACGCCTCCATGCAACTTGCTCAAGAATAACACATCTGTGTTTGAATCTCCATGTATTATGTATATGAACTGAAACCATCCACTCTCGAGAAAATTCTAGTAAAACATCGAAGTTTGAGTATTTTGATCTTATGTGTAAGTTAAAACAAAAGATTGTTTGAGTATGAATCACACCGTCGATAATTTATTCATTATTTTGGAAAAATATCGTAGTTATATTAATCCTTTTAATGATATTAAAACGACACCTCAGATACTTATCTTAAGTTGTTTATTAGATAATGGAAGAACCTATCCATTTTTGCTCTATCAATTTGCGTAGGAAATTGAACCAATCGAAAACACATACATAGATAGCTTGACTAAAGAGTAAAACTTGTCACGCCTCCATTAAAGATCGATGGACAATAGCAAGTCTCTAATCAATATTGTGGCAGTCAAATCTCTGGGGAGTTTGCGTGCCTTGTACAAATGTTAAGATGTAAGTTAATGAATAAGATTGATTAAGATGAGACATGGAGATTTTCTTCACTAATAAGTATATATATATATTCATCCGACGTACGATTTTAACAGTATTTTTGTCTCTTACATTCATGGCAATCCGGTGATCGTGGCGAGATATATATTAGAAAATGCAAAGTGGGAATTCACTGTGACTGAGATAGGAACGTGTAATAGGAGGATGCTGCAAAATTAATTAACTAAGAATGATTTGGTGCAAAATTATTGCCATTTCTTCAATCTAACCTTCGTTTTTGAGGCACCAAATTTGAAGGTTTGATATCCGCGTGTGTGTTAGTTCAAATGACACGCCGGGATCCGGTCGTTTAAATTAGTCCACGTATTATTCTATAAAAATTTTGTAGTTCATCTTTGACTTCTACTATCCTATTAGACCCTGTTTTTTATGTACGTCATTTTTTTTAACTACCCAATAAACATTATTATATGTTGAAAGAGTTAATGGTTTTTTTCCACTAAAATAATGGTTTAATGACAGTTTTCCATCAACAAATTTTTAAAATATCATTTTATTATTTAAATTTATATTCTGATAGCGAACAAAGAGTAAACTTGGTTTAAGCTATTAGGGTTTTTTAAGAGAGGAGGTTGATGAGTGGTACAAGGTTGGATTTTCGCGGTTAAGATTGATAATAATTTGACTTGAGATGGACAGTTACACAAACCCTAATCATTCGATTACCAGCGATTGGCGGAGTCGGCAGGAGTAGAGTTTGAAGGGTTTTGGTGAGTGATGATTGGAGAAGATAATGATAATGGTTACAACAATTCCGGAATCGAGACGGTGTATAAACTTGGATAATAAAATAGTATTTAAAAAGTCTATAGGTGAGAAAATGTCATTAAACCATTATTTAGTTAGAAAAAAGTCGTTTACTCTATGTTGAAATTAACAAACTGATGATCTTTTTTACAGTCAATAGCAGAAAAATTGGCGAGTCGTGGTTGTCACATATGGTAAATTTTGTGCCCCAACATTACTTGCAAAGGACAATGATGAATTTGACCAGGGAAGGTAGAGGGATCTTGCTTGAGATTTTCTTGGAACATTACTGCGAAGATACTATAGTTTGATTTCTCAATAAAGGTATGCGTTAAAGGGAAGAAAAATTTATGTAGACGGTTGGTCGATGTAAATATATGAAAGTGTGCTTGAAACGTTTATATTACGAGGAAAAATAAATAGTCAAAATGGAATGGTGGTTGAATAATGAATATAATGTCTGACTTGAATGATCTTCAATCGGATTGTGCGGCCTGACTTCGACTCCATCAACTTTGTCAAACTCCTTTCAATTTACTTTATTTTTTTTTTTTTATCTTTAAACCTACCCAAATTGGTATTTTAACATTTTAATGGAATTCTTGCTTCACATGTTTAACGTGAATATCATGAGATCATAGAGGCTTTGGACAAAGAGATGGAAAACTTAAATTTATGGATGTGTATTTTCTTTTAGTATGTATTCTAATTATGGAATAGCAGTTAATGAATTTGGCTTTTAATTAATGTAATACACGCATAAATAAATATGTAGACAATACGTATTTTATGTATGAAAACATAAGAAATTAATTTCAATCTTATCTGTTTTGTTAATTATTATTTGTTATACCGAGACTTTATATTAGGATTGGGTTGATCTCATAAATAAAGTAGTTACGTTGAATTAATGAATAAAATATATTATAAACCAATCTTAATCATAAAGTTTCGCAAAATAAAAGAGAAAAAAAATATACCTAACAAGAGATATTGAATAGAAAATAGTCAAAATGTGATGTAAATGTGAATGATGAATAGTTAGAATACTAAATGAAATTCCGTTTACACATATTTTATATTTTAGGTGAATACATAAATTTTATATAATAATAATAATATTTAATAATGTTTTGTTTAAAAAATAATTAAAAACTAATTGCTAACCCTCTCAGCCAAGGCGTAGTCAGGAAATTTTCTTAGAATGGGCTATTTTTTTTTTTCTCAAGCCAAAAGAATTAAAATAATGAAAAGAAAAATATTTTGGGTAAACATTAAAGTTTTAAGAGAATTATTAATAAAAAAAATTAGAGCTGTGCACTTAGCAATCAATTATATAATTTGCATTAACTTATGGGTGCGTTTGGTTTAGGGTATGTTGGATTATTGAGAATATTGGATTATTGGTGTTGTGTGTGATTTTTCCGTCAAGCTCGGAGAATTGTGAGATTATAGCTCAATCCAAAATCTGTTTGATTCAATTGATTGTTCGACCCAACATAAGCTTGCTGAGTTGTAGCTTGACCTAGCACAAACTAGTCGCAACCAATCATTACAGTTGTTCAACTAGCTCACAAATAACTCTAGATCCCTGATATCTTGGAAGGGATTAGAGATGGCAATGGGCCCGATATTCTCGAGTACCCAGCCCAGCCCGTCTCGAAAAGGTCGGGCTTTACCCGATGTTTGCAGGCTTGGGCTTGGGCCTAAGCCTGATTTTAAGGCTCGACCTTGGGTATGGGCCAGGCTTGGGTATGTCTTCAGGCTCGACCCGGCTCGACAATTTTAGTATTAATTATACTAAATTGCCCTTATACTATATATTTAATTACGAGATTATCCTACATATATATACTCATTTTTCCCAAAACCTACATGGATGGATGGATGGATGCAGTTTGTGGTTAGTTATTTATATATTTGATAAGTATTCAAAAATAAATTAATATTTAAAAATTGTTTCTAGAATTAAAAATATAAAAAAATAAATATTTATTAATATTTAAAAATTCACATTATAAAAATGGGCAGGCTTGGGTCGGGCTTGAGGTTATAAAAGGCCCATCGGGTCGGGCTTGGACTTTACTTGTCATACCCGTGAGGCCTTTGTCATGAGGTCGGGCTT